TGTGTGTGTGTGTGTGTGTGTGTGTGTGTGTGTGTGTGTGTGTGTGTTAGGCTATTTTATTACAACAGCCCAAAAGAACTGCTACTAGAGGAACACCAAGAACATCAGCACCATTTCATGATCTCCCCTCTCTAGAATCCGTACTAACGAGGATTTTTTTCCTGTCCTTTCTATATCTTTCTTTCAGGACGAAAGAACATTAATGTCTCTCCCTTGGGCGACCATGTCGGCGCCGGGCCGATATGCCCTCTGTAGGCGTCTAGAGCCTGAGGTGGAGGCTGTATGATCCACTTCCTAGTCTATTTCTATTCTTAGTATTTCTTACAACAGTAACTTTCGATCTTGTCTTTGTCTATGACTCTATGCTTGCCAGTAATCAGCAACTGCCGTGCTGAGCTTTCTTCCTCACCTCTCTTTGTCTATTCTTACTACAGTAACTTACTACAGTAACTTTCGATCTCGTCTTCAGCAAGTGACAGCAACCATACTGCAGTCCCACGGAATAGATGGGGTAACTGTTTCTGCCAAAACGAAAACGAAAGAAAGAGCGATCGAATGCAGAAACGGGCCAGAACAATCAGCAGAGGCCGTTAACATCGTGGCAGCAGGGGAGGTGAACTTGCCAGTCTGAGAGAGGTGAGGAAGAAAGATCAGCAGGGCAGTTGCGGCACAACTGTACCCGCAGCTTCCTAACACCTGCATACGAACAGCGGCAGCAACAGACATCAGCAGGATTAAAAAAAAAAAAAAAAAAAAACCTGCAAAAAATAGCATCGAGACCACCGTAAGCGGATGTTTTCAGCAGCAACACAGCAGCATCACACAGCATGAGAACAGCACGTCAACGGCAGCACAAGAAGAGTAAGAACAGCTGCGCTACACCGGCATAGGACCAGCAGCAGCGTCATGTCAGCAGCATGACTAGAATGACAACACTCCAAAGAATTCAATTTGAAGCAATTGTCCATCAAAGGAACTAAAAAAGTACAAAAAATGGCACCCACAGCCCCAGATGCTCTCAGCTGCAACACAGCAGCATCTCACCAGCATTACAGCAGGATGACAGCTGCAGACGCAGCGATGTAGCATGGAAGCTGCCGACCGAGGCATATATCAGTGCCACAATCGTGCAGCACTACCGTCTTCACCCAAATAGAACGCCCGGTTATTATAGCTGTATTTGGCACAACTTTCAGCGCAGATACTGACCTGTATTTGGCACAACTTTCAGCGCAGATACTACGATAATTACAGCGCGTTCTATTCAGGTGAAGACAGTAGCAGCAACATGACAGAGCCAAGATCATCATAGGGCCAACAACACTGCAGCAGCTTTGCGGCATCGCTCTGATCACAGCAGAAACATCGCCGCAGAGACATCACAGGGTGACCAATAGCAGAGAGACAATCTGGCATACTATCAGCCGCAGCAGCAGCACCAGCAGCAGCACCAGCACCAGCAGCAGCAGTCGACACCGATAGACCACGAGTGCCAGCAACATAGAAAACCAAAAGAAGAGTGGGAAAGAGAGGGAGTCAACGAAAGTGAGAGATCTTCATCATACCCTCCTCCTCCAGTTTCATCTCATCATTTTCTTCAAGGACTTCATTCGTCTTTTCCTGCTTGCAGGCTTGTCACCCTTCTAGTAAAGAATTCACCCCTCTTCTTCTAGAGAGCCTCTCCATGTGTCGTGTCACCGCCAACGATTCGTACCGGCAAAAGAGGTTTCATAGTTTTCATTATCTCCTTTCTGGAGCACTGGATGGAGGTTGAAAACTCTTTGTACCCACCACAGTAACAAGGACGTCTGCCGACATAGTCCAGCCATATCACCAGATATGAACTGCTGCAGCTGCTACAGAGTCACATTGACCCTCCCCTTGGTTGGCGGTCCGTATTCCCTAAGAGCTGGTCTAAGCGCTCTTCGGAGGTAGAACTATGTGGCGTGGTGGCTGCACCACCATCTCCATTATCCGCACGATCAAATCTTCGGGCAAACTCTCCCAGCAGGTTCCCTTGAAGATTCGGTGGAATCGTTTGCAATTCTTTTGAATTTGTTGGAAATCCCTTTGTTGCGACTCTTGCTGCGATGATGTGCGCAGCCTGAAATGCTGAACAACTGAGTCAAAGCTAGAGTACACGCGCCGAGACACGCAGCCGTCGTACAGATAAGCGAGGGAAGCGGCGACAGGCAGTAACCGCTCAAACTCAGATTTACCACAATAGGAAATAGAATCTCCTTTCTCTTTTACGAAAGAAGCTTGGCGGAGATGATACAAGGATTTCATCTCTTCCTCTCCTACGTTTGAGGTGGAGATGATGGCCCGCGAACAACAGTCTTCAAAGTACAAACGCACAGCCTCATCCTCATCGAGCACCCAACCATCTCCTAGCTTATAAAAGCGAGAAGAAGAAGAATCCGCTGACGTTGTGACCCTTGTGAGGACCGTAGGGACATCACCGTGCGGCTTGTACCGTTCTTTGACGACATTGCCATTCCGAATGATCAGCACCGTCCGACCTCCATCAATCTCACGGAATACCTCATTACATATCTCATCATGATCAGGTAAGCCATCAAAAATGGCATCAAACAACTCCTCACCTGCACCTGTCGCAATCAGGGTGCCCATCTGACGATCTCTAACATCCACGGACCAGCCATCACAAAGGTAAGGCCTGATGGTCAGCATCATTCGCAGCGAGAAGCATTGACCGTCGATTCCCACCAGATCAAAGTCAATGAGCTGCACAAGTGTATTGATCGCCATAAAGTCCTTGTAAAGAGCACCAGCTCTGCAAAAGTCAAACAGTTTCCTGGCTAGGGTCTCATCACACTCATGGGTGACATCTATTCCTGACCGCGAGAACGTTCGTCCCAACAGCCGCATAGAATCTGAAAGCGCAAACTCCACCATGCAGACAGCCAACACGATACCCCCCTGTAGAGCACTGTAAGGGTCGGCATCACAACCCATCATCCTTCTTCGAAGATCCTTAGAGGTATCCCCTGACCCCTCTCCCTCCTCGAGGAGGCCAAACACAGACATGTAGTCAGCAGCCACATCCACAGCGTCACGGCAGTCTGACATATTAACTGCAGTACCTTGGGAATTGCAAAACTTCACAAACTCATTCATGAAAACTTCACGATGACCCTTCAGGAGGTCAAGATTTCCTGGTTGCAGTAGGAATTGGCCTATCTTAATAAAGGGAGGCCTCTTGACCACCTCACCTGCATCCAGGGTAGCCAGTTGCAGAGGAAGCACATGATATTTCTCAAACACGCTTCCGTCGAAAGCGGTACGAAAGTCTAGAAGTTGACCCACAGTGTGACCTTGTTCTTCTTCATCTTCAAGAGCCGCTGCCATGGGTTTTAGATTGCTTGCTTAGCTCTGTCTGACCGCTTGGTTGGTTGGATTAACACCTGCAAGGGAAGAATGTGATTGTTGTCTGTCAAAGAAAGGACACGAGGACTTCGAAGTTTGAACATACAATGCCGCAGAGTTCCTCCATAATTCAACACGTCCGTTCATATACCCGTTAACTGCTGATCAGCTGAAGAAACGAGGAGGAGGAGGAGAAGGAGGAGGAGGAGGAGGAGGACGAGGAGGAGGCTGGGGTGGGGGGAAGATAGGGAGGGGATTGACGAGGAGAAGAAAAGAGAAGGATAGAGGAGGAGGAGGAGGAGGAGGAGGGAGAATGTGATCTTAGAAAAAGAGCAAGAGGATCCGGGATCAAGGATCAGCTATCCAGGAAAGGATAGGACATCGAGGACAGCGGAGGATAGCCAATCCTTGATCTCCTATAGAGGATCAGGGATCTAGGTCTGGGGATATCCTATCCTACTCCATATTACCCCAATCCTTGATGATCCCCTACCCTCAATGACCCCTCCCCTATCCTCAATGGCCTGTCCCCAATCCTTGATCCCCGATCCTCAGTCCCCCATCAAGGATCAGGGACGTGGAGGATTGGGGATAGGTGATCCTATTGCTTGACGAGAAATCTGCTGCGGCAAGATAGGGTCGGGCAAGCTGGTTACTTTATAAAACACCACAGTCTGTCTTTTCCCGCGCACAATGCACCCTCATCATGACCGTATCACGCCGGAAAAATAGCTTGTATACGTTCATGAATCATGATGACCGTGGGTTCTCTTCACGGGAAGTCTGCCAAAATACTCTGCTTCACCTTTGGTTTCCATTGACCCTAGGTAGGCCTCCCAAAAAAGTATGACGACTGCTTAAAAGAAAAAAGGGACTTCCACCGCTAACAGGCGCAAAAAAAAAATAATAATAATAATAATAATAATAATAATAAATAAAAAATAAAAAAAAAGGAAGGCAGCAGGCGCGTAAATTAACCAATCCTGATATAGGGAAAAAAAAAAAAGGAAGGCAGCAGGGGCGTAAATTACCCAATCCTGACATAGGGGAAAAAAAAAAAGGACAGGAAAAATAGCATGCCTATTCTGTACTGACGTCACGCCATGGATAGAAACCCGACGCGCCCGTTTGTTCTGTCCATGACAGAATCTTTCCATGTCAGCAAGGTTGATAAGGGGGAAAAAAAAAAAAAGTCTGACATGTCAGTGCACTGCACTCTGTCAGATTTTTTTTTTTTTTTTTTTTTTTTCTGTGTGTGTGTCGGAATTTTGCTGACCATGCGATATCATCAACTTCAGCAAAGAAAGATGCCGGCGATGGAAGGTTGTCGTGGGTGGTTTCCAGTGGCGTTGATTGCTTTCCTCTCCCTCCTTCCTTTCATCCTCTGCATCATCTTTCTCTCTCCCCTTGCCCCTCCTGCATCTCCTCCATTTTATACTTCCCTCGCCTTCAAGAGCGACAGAGAAAGAAAAAAGGGCAATAAACGTCATCTTTCTCTCTCCCCTTGCCCCTCCGGCATCTTCTCCATTTTATACTTCCCTCGCCTTCAAGAGCGACAGAGAAAGAAAAAAGGGCAATAAAAAATTTACAAGGAAGTAAAGGAGGAGAGGACGTAGGGAGGGGGGAAGCGTTCAGCCTGCTATAGCCGACAAGCTCGTCAGCCATAGCGGTCTGAAACGTCAGAAACCTTCCCCATTCCTTCTTCCTCTCCTCCTCCTCCTTGTCATCTTTCTTTCCCTCCCTCCTCCTCTATCCCCTCCTCCTCTTTCTACTTCCCTCCCCTCACCCAGCAACAGATAAAGAAAAAAGGGCAATGCAAACTCTTGAATGACGAGGAGGAGGAGGAGGAGAGGAAAGGGTTGGGAGAAGGATACAGACAGTGCTATGGTTGACCAAAACACTCGTCAGCCGTAGAAAGAGTCTGACACCTATCCCCTCCCTTCTTCCTCTTCTCCTCCTCCACGTCTTCTTTCTCTGCTCTCGTTCTTCGCCAGCCTCCTCCTCCTCCTCCTGCTCTCCCTATCCTCCGCAAACAGCAGATCAAAATAAAACGACAACAAAAATAATTGAATGACAAGGAGGAAAGGAAGGAGGATAGGGGAAAGAATTCAGACACGGTGGCTATGGCTGACATATTCGTCAGCCATAGCCGTCCAAACCCTTCCCCTCCCCTCCTCCCTCTCCTCCACACGTCATCTTTCTCTCCCCTCGATTCTCCTCCCTCTCCTCCTCCCTCTCCTCCTCTTCCTACTTCCCTGCCCTCCACGACCAACAGAGAAAAAAAAAGGGCAACAATTTTTTCTTGCATCACAGAGGAGGAGAGGAGGGAGGGAGAGAGGAGGGTTCAGAGTGTGCTATGGTTGACAGAAATCTGAGCCACCGCAGTTTGAAACCTTTCCCCTCCTTTCCTCCTCTCCTCCTCCACAACATGTTTCTCTCCCCTTGGTTCCCCCTCCATCTCCCCCTCCTCTTTGTACCTGCCCACTCTTCACAAACAACAGAGAAGAAAATTGTCAAACGATTACAAAGAAATATTAATGACTAAGAGGAGAGCTAGGAGATGGGCGGAAGGGTTTGGACAGCTATGGCTGACATGTTCTTGTCGGCCATAGCCTTCTGAACGCTTCCGCCTTCCACCTTTTCTCTCTCCCTCTCCACGTCATCTTCTTTCCTTCCCCTCCGGCTTTCCTCCCCCGTGTTCGTTGTAGTCCCTCCCTACCCCCTCTTCCCTACCGTCTTCACCCGAATAGAACGCCCGGCCATTATCGCTGCATCTGGACTGGAAACTGCGCCGAATACAGGTATAATTACCAGGCGTTCTATTCGGGTGAAGACGATAATTGTAGATGCTACCTCCATCTTGGATGGGCGTCACTAGATTATTAGTGGACACCAAGAAGGAAGAGGGTGAAAACGAGATGTTAAAGAAAAAGGGAAAAAGAAAACGAGGATTGTGAAATGAGGCACAGACGGAGTTTACCTTGTTAAACTTTCTCGTCGATCCACCACTGGAGAGACGGCAGGGGTTATGGTGGTGGGAAGGAGAAGCCAGAGGTGATTTGACATACCTACCATCTTTCCCCAGGCACAACGCACCCTAGTAATGGGCCTCGCTGCACTACTCTCGAAATGTGCAAAACGAGAGTGAATCTTCCGCTAGAACATGGAAAGATACACGGCCATGATTTTTGTCTTTTGTGCATTTCAAGAGTTGTGCAGCGAGGCCCAATGAGTGGATACAGGCTATCTTTCCGGTTCGGTCGGTTCAGCCATTATGAGGGTGCGGGGTGCTCGGGGGAAGACCGTAGGAGCCTTGGTAGAAGAAGAGTCGGAACAACGTATCTGGTCCAGGAGGGTGGAGGGAGAGTTAGGGTGGGTGTGCAAAAGTGAAAAAGTAACGGGGGGTGGACAGCGAGGAGAGAATAGGATGCGGTAGGCGTTTGGCATGGGTATAGGTGTCGTTCCCCACGAATAAGAAGAATGAGAGACGCGACATTGGGGGGAATCGGAGGAAGGCCCACCTTCTCCACGTCGTGCGTTTTCTCCACACTTCACTCCTTTCCGTCTTCGATCGTTATCTCTTACTCGAAGATTCATTCCTCCCCTACTGTATCTCTGCGCCTCTCTCTCTCTCTCTCTCTCTCTCTCTCTCTCTCTCTCTCTCTCTGTGTGTCTCTGTGTGACGTTCGTGGACGATGTAAGCATCTTCTACTCTCTCTCTCTCTCTCTCTCTCTCTCTCTCTCTCTCTCTCTCTCTCTCTGTGTGTGTGTGTGTGTGTGTGTGTGTGTGACGTTCGTGGACGATGTGAGCATCTTCTACTCTACTCTCTCTCTCTCTCTCT